CACACACACACACACACACTCTCTCCTCTTATTGAATGTGGGGACTTTGATTACTTAGGCCTTGTTGTCCAAAACTGGAGGACAGTGGCTTCATCTGCCCTTTGGGGGAGCTGAGCCTCCTGCCTCCCCACAACTTTTCTTCCCAGTATCTTGGTTCAGGCAACTCTGGATCTTGCACTCATGGTGGTTTCCCTTGGCTCCAGACTTTGGGAGGACGGGGCAGGGCTGTGACCCTCATCAAAGACTTTTTCATGATGCCCATGTTGGGACACAGGTTTCTGCCAGTTCCACCAACTGGGAGGAGAATGTAGAGGAGCCCATATTCCTGACCATCACCTCTATACAAAGGAGGTGAGATGGTTAAAATAAAAGGTACAAGAAGCCAATGAAAATAAAAGTAAATGGACCAAAGTCCAGCCATGGTGAGTGGGAAGATGGTGACCCAGAACCCAGTCTGAGGAGAGCTGATGCCATCAAGCACCAGAAATGCCCTGGAACCTCCTAGCTGCAAGGCAAGGAGCCAGTGAGTAATATAGTTCTTCTTATCTAATTGAAGGAAACTTAAGATTGCTCAGGACAGAAAAATCTTTCTCATGCAGCAAATTCTAAAAGGAACATGATAGCCTGTTTATTGTATAAGAGAAGCTGAAGATGATCTTTGAGGAGTTTTGCAGAGTGCAGTGCAGAGCCTTGCCTCTGGTGATTCTGTGTTCACCTAGTGTTAAGGAGGTTCTATGCAGAATGTGTCCCAGGCAGCATAAGCCGGGGAGTCCAGACCATTGAGATGGCCTTGCCAGTGAGGGCAAAGGTTCAGCACAGTCCCAGTCCAAGACTCTTTGACAGCCCAGATATCTTGCAGGCAGTTCCCTCCTTTCTTCTACCTGGTGCTCCCAGACCCAGGTGAGTATGCGGCTTTGGGATCAAGGAACCATCATGAGATGGTCTCCGCATGTTCTAAAAGGAGTCCTGTCCTTAAGCCACCACCCAATCATGTCCCCAGGGATTCTCAGGAGAATCCCCCACACCCTGGAAGTCAGGCAAAGTCCTGATATGGATTTTACAGAGATTTCATAAGCTATACAATTAAAATAATTTCCAACTTCCTTCCTGGTCCCACCCCAGCTCCAAAACTTCACACACAACCTGGGATGGATGGGAATGAGGACACATGACCAAGAGAAATTATAAATCATTTCACCCCGGTCCATCTCCAGGCAGGCTAAATAAGATATGGCTGATGCCCCATCTCCATGGAACTGAGATCCAACCCCCAAATCCAAAAATGTTTGTGTATCGTATGTCTTCTTCTGGGAGGACACACCTGGTTCTGAACTATCCTACCTAAGACCTCGACACAAGAATCGACAGAATCTAACCCAACCAATCAGGACTAGAAGACCCAATAATGGCCACCTAGCTTTCATGTCATCCTGCCTGGGGATAATGCCAGCCCCTGGGGAAGGGAACAAGAGAGACTTGTTATAAGCCTCCTAGTGATTGTTAGGCTTATGATGGCTTTCAATATACCTAAACACTCACCATAAACACAAACAAATTATCCTGTTTTGGTGATACATAATTTTATGTGAGGGAATACTTCCTCTCTATTGCTGTACAACAAATTGTCCCCAAAATTTTACAGCTTAAAACAATAAACATTATCTCATACAGTTTCTGTGGATTAAAAATTTGGGAGTGATAGTAATATTGTAATAACAATGTAGTGTTTCAGCTGGGTACTTAAATTATCAGAGGATCACTTCGTAAATTATAACTGTCTAACCACTATGCTGTACACCTGAAACTGATATAAAATGTTAACTGTAATTGAGAAATAAAATAATTTGGGGGTGGCTTCACTGGGCAGTTATGGTTCTGGATATTGCAGTCAAGATCTCAGGCAGGGCTATAACCATTGGAAGACTTGACTGGGGCTGGAAGATCTGTTGGCAAGATGGCACACACATATGGCTGTTGGCAAGAGGCTTAGGTTCCTTGCTGGCTATTAACAGGAAACTGATTACTCCTCACATGGACCTCTCCATAGGGTGATGGGGTGTCCTCACAACATAGCAGCTGGTTTCCCCCAGAGCAAGTAATCTGAGAGAAAGAGCAAGGGGGAAGCCACAATACCTCTATTTCTGAAGTTACACCCTCAGTTCTACCACATTCCACTCATTAGAACTGAGTCACCAAGTCTAGCCCGCACTCAAAGGGAAGATTAGGTTGCATCTCTTGAGGGGGGTGGTTATCAAAGAATTTTTGGACATATTTTAACAGGTTTCCTAATTCAAATAGTTAAAAGCCCTCTATCAAGAAAATTTTAAAGCTTTTTTGAAAGACATCCATCAGAAGATTAGTTAATGGTGGCTCCTGGGACCCTTAAGCAACAGGAAACTTCCAGTGAGCTAGGGAGATAGGTAGAGGGGAAGGGTGTTAATGTGGTGTGGTTTACAGCTGAGACATGTTATTAGCGAACAGTCTAGACTATTATCATCTCTGCATTCTCCACTTTAAGCTTCCAGTCATTCCATCTTAAAACTTCACTATTCAGCCTGTTCAGGGGCCATCAGGCATGAAGACCATCTTTCTTCCTCCCTCTTCCTCCTTCCCTCCCTTTGCTCCCTCCCTCTTTCTT